TCACTTGGAGGAGAAAGTTGTCATCAACACACTCCAAGAACTTCCTGGATTGCTTGCACTCTGCTGCGCTGTCCCTCCAACAGATGTCGGGGTGGTTGAAGTCCCCCATAAGGACCAGGGCTTGTGAGTGTGAGGCTGCTCTTATCTGCCTGTAGAGAGCTTCATCTGCTCAGTTCCCCTGGTCAAGTGGCCTGTAGCAGACCCCCGCTATGATGTCCCCTGCCCCCGCCCTCCCTTTAATCCTGACCCATAGGCTCTCGGTCAGCTCCTCATCCATTATGATAAGTTCCAGACCATTAACTAGCGAACTACAGAGCACAAGGATGACGTTTTCAGAATTAGAAGCCAGAAACAGCTGCTAAACAAGCTCTCAGTAGCAAGCCCTAAAAAACTTCTTCACCTCAGGATGACGCAAAAGCATTTCTCACTGACCTTTGACCCATGGGATGGTTTGGTCTTCTTGGGATCAGAGAAGGCAGAGAGTGGTATTGTGGGTAACATTGGATAATCAGGACTTGGCCTTGAAACAGTTTCTGCTCCTTCTGGCATTACCATCACCTAGTAATAAAGAGAAGAAAAATTATGTATGACTAAAGCTGCACGGACTATTAACACATGATTATGTTAAGTCACTTGCTCAATTAACACCCTATTATTCATGTTTTGGATGTTTTTTCCCCTACTTAAAGGCCATAAAAAGATACTGTCTAGGTAGTGCTTAGTTTCAAGGCAACCCCTCAAATACAGAACATTTAAACCACAAAAAAATGAAAGGCAACATTCAATATCAAGTATCTTTCCCAAAGGGAACTCCAATATTCTGAGCACAAGCAGGCAATAAAGCTCTGGACAAGAACTGAGTGTTCTGCTGCAAATGCTCTTATCCTGCAAAAGGGTAGGAAGACAAATCTGGAAGGAATGAGCAAGACTTCAATTTAGGAAAAGCTGAATTCACTCATTCAGGGAAGGAAAAAAAAAAGGAGGCCTTGGGTCTCTCCCTTGACAAGATCGTAACATGAAACGCCAAGCTCCATGCAACACTTTCCTTCTTACCTCCCCTATATTTTCTGTCAGAATAATCCTGTTGAAAATTTCCACTAGATGAACAGCATCAAAAGTGACTGACACATGAAAGGCCTCAATACATAAGGTATACAATAATGTACTATGAAAATCCTAGAAAGCAAATTATGTTCTAGCCATCCTTTGGCTGAAATAAGCACCTTCCTCTTTGTGCCCAATACAGAAAAGCCACTTGTCACTCCTGAGATTTACCCACAACTTTTTCACTTTTTCAGGCTAGAAACACATTTTTTCTTCTTCAGAAGAAAATTTTGCTAGCAATTAGGACCATCTTGAATAAAGTCCTTGAACAGAACATAATTATACATTACTATATATGGGGGTGTCTCAGAATACAGTCATGACATGCTCTGTCTGGCTAAAAACTTCATGCACTTTGTGGTTGTACTAGTTTGCCTACATCTTGTAGCTATTTGAAGATAATTTCTTTAGTCTATCACCACATATGACCTTCCCAGAAGTAAGAGTTCATCCACTGTAGCCACCCATATCTTACCATGCCTTCAAGAGTATATCTGTTTTTTCCTCCCACACCCATTTTCACTCTATATTCTAAAACTTTTCCCTAATCTTTTATTATCTAAGCCACAAGCAGCCAACCGCAGGTTTAGAGGACGCTTACTGACAAGGAAGCTTCAGTATTAAGCTTTCCTATAGCAAAAATGAGTAAGGAACAGACTGGAAGCCTCTCCCTTTTCTTGAGCTTTTCTATACTGACACAGGAAGGCCACAGGTATCTGTAACTGCCTGATGGACAGCATGCAACATCCACAGATGATCTCCATTTCCAGAGGGGTTTTAGTGCTTTGATATTAACAGTCACATTTAAATTGAAAATGAAGTGCCACCAATCACACCAGCAATGGTTTAGTTCTGCTTCAAGTGCTGCAGTCGTATAACCAGAAGTAAAAATTGGCTGGGTCATCCTTTAGATGAACGTGGAAAACTGCAGCCTGCTGGGCTGCAGCTGAAAAGAAACCCCAGAGCAAAACGAGATCGTTATCCATTTTAGCAGAACCTCTTCAAATCTCCAATCCCTTTGGCACTTACCCCTCCAGCCCTAATGAGTTTGCGTCTGAATTCCTTGGTGGGGTTGTTGAAAGTCAGTTTCTCACATCGAAGGTGGTTCACGGGTGGATTTCCCTCCAAATTTAAGAACAGGTCGTATGTGAAACAAACCTTTTTCGGCTCCTCCTAAAAACAAGAAAGACTTTGGGAAAACGGAAGAAGTTCGGCAAGCACACTAAGGCAGGGGGTTCAAATAGTCATTCCTGAAAATCCCAAATAAACCACTAAGTGCTGCATTCACAGAGTTTTTCATCATGAGATCAGAGAGCTCGGAAATAAATTATTTGTGCCTAAAGTGCCTGAAGTTAACATACTGTTCAGAAGAAACTCAGGCATGGCTTTTCACTGCAAAAGAAACGCATGGACAAGGATACTGACTGACAATTCTCTATTTAAAGCCGTTCAAGCCATCCTAGGAAAGCAAATTCACAGGCTTTACCCACTATTCTGTTTTCACTGAAATTCAGATCCTATCTGCTTTGGGAAGCAACTGAACTATAAGTATCAATATTAAGAAAAGTATAATCCTTTATTTAGGGAAGGAACAACTTCTGAACTCACAGGATCTCTGTGGGTACCGAGAAAAGATTAAACGCAATGGTAAAAGGATGACTTGTTTTGTAAAATCCTTTTCAATATGCATATTGCAGGGGCTGAATGGGAAGATATCCTAGGCTTTTGAACTTTCCAATGGCACTTTGACTGAAGAAATCCGGAGTTTGTATGCATGTTGGGGATCATCTGCGCCTCACTGGTTTTGTTCCACCTGCTACAGAAGCACAGCGAACATTCTGCATTTGCAGTACAGAATGGAAGAAATCTCTTTGCAGATACTGCATGCTACTTATGTATTACAAATATCAAGGTGACATTTTCTGGTATTATCTGGGATTCTGCATTTCAAGATGAAAATTCAAAATGTGGCAAAAGAGACGCTCCTGCAAACCACACGGAGCCTTACAGTACATTCAGTATTTACATGAATGCATCCCACATGCCTCATTCAATGTGCGACATCAAGCAGCTGCACAGCAGTCTTTTCCACAATTCATATCCAGCAGCTTGATTTCCTGGTGTAGTTGCACTGTTGTATGGGAACAGACGCCGCAGGCTTCCAGCCCAAGCCATTAGATTTGCTGAAAATAGGTTGAAGCATCAAACGACTTCAGACCACACTGATTCCTGATGCTTGGTGGATACTAACAATGCTAAAGAAGCCTTTTCTTGTACAAACTATACCTCTAATAATACAAAGTGTAGTAACCACACCTGGTTTACAACAAAATCAGTACACTAAGCTCACCTGGGAGTCGAGGTCTTGGGTCCTAACTCCCTAAACAGGGGAAGGCAGACATCTAAGCAGACACATACAATAGAATTGTCTCCCAAGAACATGCCACCAACATGAGGGTCTTCAGACCCTCTTTTGGAAAAGTCCTGAAGAATCCACGCACACTTGAAAGGGTTCAATGTCTACTAAAACAGATGAATGGTAAGAAGAAAAGTACTTGTAAAATACACTGCATCGTCATTTTCCTCTTTTGCTACAACCATTCTCATTAACTGAATCATTAGTGAGCTCTGCATGGGTGTGCTTACGCTAGAGTTAAAACAGCAGCTGTAGAGGGTCCCTCAAAGTCTAATAAACTTAAATGAAGGATGAATAGAAATCCAAATGTGGCCTAAGAATTGTTTCTAAAAATGCTTTTCCTGGTTTACAACACAGAATAAATTGATCTTGGATATATTAGCAAAGCAGGATTCAGTCAAAAGCTGTTATGCCATCACATTATCAGAGCTCTGCTTTGTCATTTGCCTGTTTGCTTTCGGAGCAGGAAAGGGGCAGCAGATTCATTTCCCTTTTATCTTTGGTATCCCCCCCTTTTTTTTTTATACAGGACTTAAAAGCGTCAGAGAACCTCGAAATATTTATTGTACCTCTGTTGACGAGCTTCCACTTTTTGTAAAATTAAGACAGTTTTTCAATGTGACTTTTCTCCAACTCAGAGATCACAACCACCCTGGGAACCGAGCCCTAGCCAAGTACCGTGATCATTAAAATATCCTTTGTATCAGCTCAGGCCATCAGAAGCCCCCTGCCCCAAGTGAATAGTTAAGATTACAGCACTCCTAAAAGAAAGAGTACAAAAGTCTCAAAGCAAAAAGCTGCAAATAAACATTCTTTCCTTTACTGCCTTCACTGACAGCTAATGATTACAGCTCAAGACACTCTAAAGCTTAACCCATCCGGTCCTCCCTAAAAGGTTCTTCCCTCCAAACAACCATCAAGGGGAAGGGGGGGGGGGAGAAAAAAAAAAAAAGAAAACTAAGGAAAATCTTTCTCAATGGGCCTGGACCTACACATCATCTAGCTTTAAATGGAAAGCCACTCTGAATCCACAGTGCCACACTTCAAAGCTTTTCTAAACACCACCTTGGGATCTACACATCCCGCTGCCTGGCGTTGCAACAGAGTGTAGGTGCTTTCTCACCCTCTGAGCTTAGGTCCGGGCACTCTGTTTTCATACTGTACCACCACTTTACGTACTCCTGCTTCAGTAGCAACTATACGTGCAAGCCAGGCTTAACTCTGAGATGATTCCACCTTCTGGTACTCAACCCTTGATGTCAAAAAGTAAAACTGAAAAGGGAGAGACTTACTTTGTGGATATTTTGTTGCTCTGCCAGACCATAAACTTTCTAAAGAGCTTTACTTCCACAAAAGGCTTTAGAAAGGATGGATCACATCCATTTCTAACAGGTAGATATTTTGGTTATTCAGATTAAAATCCAATTGTCAGTTTGGACACACAATGGTTAACCTGGTATGGGATCTCTCAGCAAGTCACCTTAGAAACTCAGTTTATATCTGCCCCTTAAATCTCAGGATGCCAGAGAAGTAAACTAGAAGCGTGTACCACAAAGCTGGGGCCAAGCTTTTATTTGCAGCCGCAGTAAATTTCCCTCCATACAGTGAATCCCCCTACTCCACCTCCAGTTTCCAACACTGAGGACATTACGCTTTATTTTTACTGTTTTCCAGCTTCCTGTCTGCATTGACTGCCACTGCACTCTTACGAACACTGAAGTTGCTTTATTTTTCTTCTGGGTTCTGAAGTAATGGGTTAAAATTCTTCTGGCACTTTTCTTAAGAGAAGGAATTTTTCAAAGTCTTTTGTTAAAATTTCCTTGTCCTGTTTTTAAGGCAGGGTGTGCCCTTTGCCACTTAACACAAATCAGAAGAATTTCACTGGTAGCGTGCGCATAAAGCTCATAAATCACTTTTAGAAAGCCATAAAACAAAATTATCTACAAAAATCTAGCACACCAAGGAAGCAGACTCATGGTTATTCAATAACTACAACATCTAACACTACTTCCCTTTTGCCATAGATCCAGCCTGACAGAGTCATTTATCCGTAACCGGTGCATAACGTCTGTATAAATGAAACCCCCTTTCCAGGCCTGCACAACCCGTTTGACTAGTCTTCCACCTCACTTCCAGACAGGACGTTTAAAAGTGAATAGCCCAATATTCATTTTTTTGAAGCAAGTAGCCTTATGTTACACTCTGCTAACAAGTCCATGAAACACCCTTAGCTTTTTTGAGATTCTACAGGGTTAAGTAAAACAACAGAGAACAGCATTCCCCTGTTTGAAGCCTATCACTTTGAAAATTAGGAAAATAGACCCACAGCTCAAAGACGAGCATTTAATCATCTACTAGCTCTTACAAACATGTGATATGATGCTGGCGTGGCTAGTAAAGCTGCTACGTTCAACAGGGTTTCCTTGCCAGGCACTGCAATCTATTGTGCCACATTGAACGGCTACTGAAACACACAGCCTGGGTGTTTTGGCCAGGAAAACAGCCTGCTCCGATAGAAGAATGGGTAAACTGATAATATGTATTCATTTATGACAGAAAAATGTAAAAGAAGATTCATCACTCATCCGAAGCACAAAAAGTGATGCAGATTTGGTAAGACAATGCAAGAACAGACCTAAAAAAATGTGAGCAGAAATGCTTCCACTTAGAGCTAGACAAAACTACACGTTTTACTCCTCCTTCCACAACTTTCACCAACACTGAGTAAATATTAACAGGCTAAACCTACTCTTCCTTTCCTCAAACCTGTGCAGACCCTGGCCCAATAACAAAGCCATTTCTTAAGTAAAAAATCAAATGTCTCACACAAACACGGGCTCTTCAGCAACCTTCCTTAGGCGTGTTTCACAAGCCGATACCTTCCTGACGACACAGTCCTGACACGTAGTTCTAACTGATCTCCCATTTCACCTGCCCTGCCATATGTGCAGCCCACATACATCTCCACTGAGTTCCTACTTTGAAACACAAATAATTTTTCCCTTCTCCAATATTTTTCTATGTATTTTATACATCACACCTATAAATATTACCCCTTCTGCAAAAGATACATGTTTTTAATTTGAACCTAACTGGAAAAATCGAACGGATTTCTCCGCTTCTTTGCTTATCTCCCTTTTCAGTAATAGAAAATGCCCAAGTTACATGTAACCATTATGTAAATACTGGAAGCCTTTTATCTCTAGCACTGAAATTGGGAGGTAGTATTTTTAAACAGACTTCAGTACAGCATCTTATCCATGGTGCATTAACATCATCTGCCTTGTATCGGCATAGCATGAAAGTATACCAGACCTTTAGCTTTGGGGGGAGGGCGGGGGGGAAGCACATTGATCCAATTCGATTAGGATGCAAAAAAGGTAACGGGACGAGTACCAAAATCATACCTGTCTTACAGCCTCCAGATTACAATGTATACCACTGTGAGAGATGTATTTGGAGACAACAATGAAGCCATGAAAAAAGCCTCAAGACTTTTGAAATTGAGTGGGGGAGAGGGAAGGGGAAGAGCAGTAGAAAAACAGCAACACATTTATTGTACCCAGTTTGTATTGATTCAAGCACCAGAAGCCACTAACAGCAGCCCTCATTACAGGAAGGAACACAAAGGATTTAAAACCAAAAATAGCATACTAACATTTTCAGTCCAACAATCCCAAATGATCCGCTATCATTAGTCAACTGTGCTTTCAAAAGCTTTATCATTCAACCCGCTGAGACCCCGCCGTTTGTTTTTCAGGTTCAGTTACAGAGGCAAAGGCTCTAGCAGGCCACCAATATCAAATGAGACCGCAAGTCCTGTGGCCTGTATAGATCACTGCAGCTCTCTAGAAAGCTGATACACAAACTGCCCAGGCTCACAGCAATATTCAGAATAAATCTTCTGTAACTCAAATGACATGGCAACGCACCTATGTATTGAGGAACTGAATTACAGCACAGGAAGGACAAGCACATGCCAACAAGGCATAACTGTGTTCGTAGAGGATAAGAACGGGCCCTTGCACCTTTTTTAATTCTCTGTTGACACTTCCTTGTCTGACAGAAAGGCACGAAAAGCTTCAGCGAGGCCAAGAGCACTGACTCTCCTACTCCAAACAGACAACAAAAAGAGAGTGGTCCAACACAAAGAGTTAACGGCCAGTTATATGTAAAGTTGCCTTAAAAAAAATCCCTGATGAAGTTCATTAAAAACATTCTTAAACCATTCTTAGTAAAACTGTTCCTGAGCAGTGAACAGGCCCATGTTTCTTTAGCCAAAGCAAAGAGTACACTGGCTCTGACAACCACTATTTATCATCCTAGTAACAAATTAGAACAGGGAAAGGAAACGACTAAGAAAGGAGGCTTAAACTGTGGAAAAAAAAAATTCAGCCAACCATGGCAAAGATCAAGCTCCACAGATTAGCTCGCTCCCTCTTTAAATCCTTTCTCTTCTCACCTTCACAAAGCTAAATATGCATCGATAAACAAATCCCAAAGCCTTTGCAACTCTTGTTTCAACTGAGAGGACACAAATCAACAAAAACGTGCTAGAATGTAGGGAGCATATGGTCAGAAAGACCCACCCGACTCCTCCTGCCCAGCCACCTACCAAACAGCGTTTTCTACTCAATCCCAGAATCAATCCATAACATCTACTTGAAAAGAGTTATTCAAGGATGAGTCCCAAATGCTGTAATCAATTCAGGCAAATTCAGAACAATATATGCTCCACACACAACAGCTGATGCCCACCACAGTCAACAGGTTTACAGAGCTCAGAGTGAACATATGGTCTTCAAAGTAGCGAAGGCTTTTTTTTTTTTTATTTGGTGCTTTAATGTCACATTCTTTAATGCAGGAGAAAATAGGCTGGGTTCTAAGCCTCTGCCATTCCTCCTCTTTCCCAATCTTTTTAATTTCTACTATATCCCAGTTTTTGCTTACCTTTTGTGTTTGCATTTCTATCTTTGCAGAAGTATTTACCTCTTACATTTCCTCCAACTCCACTTACTGAAAATAATCAAAGCTCTTAATATTTCAAGATGGCATTATCACCAGGCAAGAGTGGTCAGAGGAGCCAAATTTTTCACATCCTCAGGCAGCTTCTAAGCTTCCAGCAATCATAAGTAGCAGGCTTAACTTCCAAATGTGTAGAGAACATTTCCTGACATAAGGACTGAAAATTTACTTTTAAGTAGTAAACGAAAATTTCAAAAAACTTCAGTATCACTCACGTATTTGAAGTTCCTGGTTGAACCTAGGAACACGTTCAAATGACATGCTGGAAGGCAGAAGCTATCGTGTTTTCCCCCAACCACCACTTGCCCCAATTTAATAATGGGGGGTGCTGCCCAAAACTCCTTAATTAGTCGATTTCTCAATCAGCTTAAAAGTGGAAAAGAACTTCTCCGTAATGCATGCATCTAAAAAAACAGGGCAGAGATGTGTATTTTGAAGATTTGTAGTTTTGAAAACAAGTCTGCAACTAAACCTTTTTCCCTATTAATTTTTCATGTTTCTAAAGACCAAAATGCCAAAAACAAACCGCCTTTTCCTAAATTAACTGCTACTTCCATTGTTTCCACTAAGAACAGAGACCACCTATTTCCCTTATTTATAAAAGCCATCCTATCCCTAATGCTAGAAAGAACAACTATGCAGTCACGTGTTTCTAGATAAACAATGAGAAGTGATGACCCCAGTGGGTGTGAAACCAAGTTATATTCAGAAAAGCTGCCAGTTCCATATTCTGTGAGGGGCATACGACTGTAAGGGACAGAGAGGAAAAAAAGCATACGAATGCAGAGGTCAGAGCAAACAAGTGCACCAACAAAAAAAAAAATACAGGAGAGGTAGAAATGAGAGAGAAAGATCTGAGAGGATTTGTGAAAGACAAAGCCATCAGAGACCTGCAGGGAAAAGGCAAGTGTGTGAAAAGACTAGGTGAAGAAAGGAAGGAAAGACAAAAGGTAAGAGCAGAAAGAAAAACATAGTTCACCCATCACAGTAATTTGAGATTCCCCTTACAAGAAATCGGCATGGAGAAGTTGACTTTTTTTTTTGGTCAGGAATGTAAAGGTAGATTTTGAACTTGAATTAAGCCAACATAGAGCGTAGATGAAGAGTTTCCTGATTTCCATCCAAAACCTCAGAAAAGCCACCAGAAGTCAAACTACTTTTAAGCTTTTGAGGTTTTGGGGTTTTTTTTGCATTCAAGTCGTAGTTTTCAGTGTTTGCCAAAAAAGCTGCTTCTATCAACAACTTTCATCCCTTACCCTCTAACTGCCATTTCTCTTCACATCCTTTTGGCTTACTCCACCCACCCAAAAGAAAGTTGTGGGCAAAACGTTCCCAGGTTTAAAAGACAAGTCTTCGTGTGGTTCAGTCTCATTATTTGGCTTATTACTCAGACTCATAAACTGGAGTAAGAGCAATGTGGTAGGCCAAAAAACCAACCTAAACCGTTAATTATTCACAAATGACACTGCCGGGAGAGTATACTGTGCTAGGCTGGGGCAAGAAGGAAACGATAGACAGATACGTTTGTGGGAGGTACAACGGAAAGGATGCTGGGAAGCTAAAGAGAATTAGGTGGTTATATGTGGTCTGCTGTCAACAAAACCTGGGTAATGGCTTGTGCTTGGAGGGTAAGAGTATATATTAGAGAGATGTGGCTTAATGGTCAAATTTTAGTTTATCTAGGCTCCCTCTTAGGGATAATAAGCAGATTTTTTTTTTAATTTAAGTAGCAATCCAAACCAGAAAGATTCAGTATCTATGTTTAACAAAACAACTTAACTGAAACTGAGTTAATATGAACGCAAATGCCCAAATCTCTATTGTCATAACATTCTTCAAGCAGCATGTGATCTCTGTGGTAAAGCAAGCAATAAATCCCAAATTTTAACTTTCATACACTTGTTGGCATTGCATCTTAGGATTTAAAATATTTACCATTTTCTTTTTGGAAGAGTACTGAATCAGAACAACAATATCTTTAACATAGCTGTAAACACCTGTATATATTCACATTTGTCTTGGGCCTATACAAATTTTATACCTGTACAGTTAATTTAATAAGATCGCAAGTAAAAAAAAAAATGGATTTTTTAATATATTGCCAGTCAACACGGTATTTACAAATGTTTACAAAAATCAGTGTTTTATGTTTATTTAATTCTCTGTTTGCATACAATACTTTAAACTGCTTTAATATTATCCACACTAGAGAAGCTTGTTACAAGAGGTACAATCTCTGTTCACAATCTCTAGGACCACCACACTGTCCTGATATTACCTTTCTATACAATTCCATTTCTGCCAAAAGCTTTCTTTTGAAGTCCGGTAGGAGCTTCCAACTCCCAGTTAAATTCTATTTATTAGACTAATAAAAAACACACACATAAAACAGTCACATAATTTAGAGTCTTTATGTCAGGCAGTTTCAGGCTCTGGCACAGCTCAAAACAATTAGAAGACCAGAAATCAGATTCTACCTTATTTTTGAAGTACACTTCAATGGGCATAATGAAGCCTGCATAGCCAGACTCCTCCACTTTGTAAGGGGGCTCCTTGCACACTGAAAAAGAGAACAGAGAAATGTTAACTTTGAGGAGAATGAAACTTAATCTGAGCCAAAAAAGGAGTTGCAAGATGAGAAATGGGCCTCTGACAACCTCAGGACACATTTAAAACTGACCTTTGTGAGGGGAAAAAACATACAAAATAAGATGGTGGTCACAGGCTTAGTTAAGAACATGAAAATCTGTTCTTAGCTCCTCCCATGGAAAGGAAACATAAAACATTCCATGCCAGAGTCTCTGTGAGATTCTTCCCCCCCTTTTGCAGTGAGATACAATTACATTTCTCCGCTGTTCCACAACAATGCAAACTGCCAATTAAAGCTGCCTTGCCAAAAAAGGCGAAGACCCAAAAGGTGGGAATTTGAACAGTACAGAAAAAGTAACATTTACTTTGATGCCTATATTTATTAATCAAAATATGGTACCATGCGAGCAGGTTTGGTTTTGGGGGTTTTTTTCCCCTTGAAATGCACTCCTGCAATGCTGGATCTTCATAATTACATAACAGCCATACTACAAGCTGCTTCATCCAAACCTCATAACAAACCCGAAGGGCAGGTAAGCACTGCTATTTATTTCACGTACAAGGAAACGGAGAAAGCCTAACCAGTTTCCCGCTAAGGTCACGGTGCTGCCTACTGCAGAAACACCGATTACAAAAGTTAATCGCTTCTAAGAAAATAATCTACCTGCTTCCTGCCTCAGTTTCCCCTGTCCCGCTACCCGTTGTATCTTCATGCTACTGAATCCTTCCTGTCATCTACCAATGCGTTTCAGTACGGTGACAGCCGACTCGAAGGATTCTAGGCTCATTTATTTGGCCACGACATAGCTATACGTAACAGCTGCCAGAAGAAACGTGAGACCAATGCAGATATTCTCCTCTCAGGAACTGGATGCACTTGCATATAAAATTTATGCACAATATATATAAATAAAGTCAATTAAGTAATTAGGGAAAATCAGTGCAAATCTTTTTACTTTCTCTAAAGAATTCCAAGTAATTAATATGATTAGGAAACAGTACCTCAAACCTAAAAAGCACACAAATTATTTTCCTTTAATGTAGATATATTATCCCCAGCTCTAAGCACTTTTACCATCATTAAGGTGCTAGCAAGCAGTACTCAAAATTCAACTGTGAAAAATAGCATATCTAAAAATAATAAAAATCTTTAGACTTGCTTTCACTTGAATTTCATCCAAGAACCCTATCATTTAGGTGAAAAAGCCCCAAACCAAAGAACAGTGTCGATACGGCAGCACGAATCTTAAGACTATCTGCCAAGCAGCCTTTGTTCCTTTGCCGCTCTATTCTAACAAATTAAAATTAGTACACAAGCAATCTGCTAGCAGCACAAGCCTACCTTCACCAGTAGATTTTGCTCCAACTAAGAGCGAACCATCCGAAGAAACCCTTCAAACAAATCTAGAAATAGTATGCATCTGCCACACCGTTTCTGTACAACCCAGACACGCTTTGGTCAAAAGCAAGCTGGCATTATGAGCAAGCTTAGGGAAAGCATGCAAAGCCCAGAGATCAGAAAAAACTCTCTTTAAAGGCAGATAATACGGCAACTGAGTGGCAAAGACCACTTACTATCCCAATGCAGTGGTTTGTCTAAAGTAATTACACCAGATGACAAGAATTGTAGCACAGCGGATTGTAACTTTTATTCTATAAATTAGCTTTCAGCTCAGTATTGCACTTGCTTATCATACATCAGTTTTACTACATCAGTTTGAAGGAGATATTAACATACAGACTAGACTTACATCCTTATGAGCTGAACACCTTTGAGTTACTTTCCACTGTGGACTCCCACAAATAACCAACGTAGCAGGTAATCCTAAGACATCCTGCGTGACCAGCAGACTTCCAAAGAAACATTTCAAAGAACGCGCATTAGGAAGTAATTTACAGCAATACTCTCAGGCAGCCAGCATCCCTCGTAACACGCCGTAACAATACTGCAGATGCAGTCACACAATCTTAAGCAGATCTAAGTCTTTGCTGCTGCTGAAAAGGGCAATTCCTGCTCCTCCACCTCAACTGTGCATTCCTAAATAAGGTTCACGTTGCTGCACAGTCAGAAAGAGCGATGAACAGATCCAGCAGACAATAACACTACAATTTGTATACTCTCGCCAACCACGCTGACTGCACAGTGCTTGCGCACATACATGCAGCTGAAACGTACAGCCAGTGGCAAAAAAGACCACCACACCTTTGGCACCATTGATTTCTGCTGGGTTTAATGCTACCTGAACCGGCACCAGAGACTAGAAATTGCAAAAATCCTGATGGCTACTTAATGACCGACGCAAAAGCCTACATGCTCCAGTACGTATACGAGCATCTCTCACCAATCACACACTGCCAGCTTGTGTTGGTGAATAGTATCAAATCAAACCCATCTTTCCCGTTTTGTAACATGAATTATCTTCTGCTATCACTAAGTGTCTTGCGAACCTGCATGTACTAATGCTTAAATAAAAGGAGCCAGCCCTTTCATCGGAAGAAAGGTCCCATTCTCCCTGACCTTCCTCAAACAAAGACAGTAAAGGTTAAAGCTGAAGTGCACACAACGTACATTTTGCTCCTCTTTAAGACGATATTTTACAGAAAAGTGACAGTCCAAGACAACCTTGACTTGCACAATGCTCTTTCATACAGAGAAGACCTAATAACACACCTTCAAAACGACACTCACCTCGCTTAGGTTTTGGGAAGCTCTCGTGTAGCCGAAAGACCACCCTTTCCACAAAATGCTGGATGTCGCACTGCTCCGGGCCACGGACAAACACCATCCAGTCATGAGTAAACCCTTCGGTGGTGGGCTTTTTCCGCAGTTGGGCTCGGTGCCCCAGCTCCAATTTTACTTGAACCGTGCACTGTTTTAGGACAGAGGTAAGACCATAAGCAAAATGAAACAGCTTACACATTATGCAGAACGCTGAGCCCCTCAGACAGAAGACGCTAGATCACCGCCAGGGAGGAATACAACAGCTTCCACAGAGAGATTAGTCTAATTCCACAAACTACAGTGTTGTCAACAGAAAAGGTATCATAAAAATAGCTCCTACCACCCATTTCATACCTATTTTCTTCCTAATATTAGCAATGCAGGGAAAACAGCTTTAGAAGCGGGATAGGTTTATCTGCTTCACTTATCAACTAAATTGTCAGCAAAGTCCTAATTGTGGAATCTTTATTTCTAGGAATTGTCAGAGACAGAACTTGCTGTTCACAGCTTACAGAATTCAAAGCACTGACAGAAAACTAATCTTAAAACAGGAAAAATTAGATCATTGGTGGTTTATGATATTCTCTAGAATACGTAATCCATTAGAATAAAATTATGATGCTCCTTGCATTCTTTTAAATATATTAACGCACTTTGAAAGACCAAGTTAACATGTAGCATGTCTGCACAATATCCAACACTAAAATGACTTAATTCTGATTTGCACTCCCGAATCCTACTCTAATCACTGGCTAACAGAGAAGGTGTATTCAGTGTCTCACTCAAAGCACAAAAATCCCACTAAATGCCTTAAAAAACAGATTAAATTAATTGTGAAGATCCACATATTATCGCAGACTTCACAGTCAGAAGAAAGCAAATGAATTAAACAAACGTAACAGAGGAAAGGCCAACACGGTTCAGACACAAGTTAAAGCAAGCAAATCTTAGGGCAAGATTTGTAGAGACAGGGAATAAACCTAAGCTATCCAACTACTTACTAGTTTTGTGAATATATGTTATACAAACCAGATTAGCAATCTCAAACTACACCCATCAAAACCCAGCTTCAGCAACTGGAAGCTCATTAAAAACGGGGTAGTTTTTAGTCCTTATGCCCCCTTCATCACCTAAGACTTGAAAATAAGCGTCTTGTTGTTTCTGGCAGTTCTCAATTACCACTGGGAGAGGCAACATTATTTGTCATTACCTGTATTACAGGTGGACGCAGAGCCAAACTGATGTTAGACAATGAACATGGAAAGAGAAAGCTTCCTGAGCTCTAGACAAACATTCAGAAGTATTATCCTCATTTTCCCATTAAGGAACTGCAACAAGGAGTATAACCATGATTAATGCTCAAAAAATATTTTGCATATCCAACCTGACATTTCATGGGAATGTGATTTTTCAGAGTATGGTTAATACTTTCTGAAAAAGCATAAGTCACTCAATCTCAGTATTCTTTTCTTTGTAAAAAGATCACACAGGAGGTCTGCAGAGTACCAGACATCAAAGCTCGACCTCCCATATTGCAGTCCAGTTCTAATTTCAACTATAAGCCTTAACACAGTCTTTCAGGCGGTTATCTTTATAGCAAAATACCATCAGCTGCCATCCAACACATCAATTCTAAGACTGAGGGACAAACTCATTTAATTAATTGCTTCACCTGTATCACTACAACATTTCTTTAGGTTACCTTCCTCTGCAAGTTCTCTTGGCAGGCCATTTTTTCTCGTCCTGTGCTGTAGGGCTTATCTACACTGGCTCCATCTCCCTCCTGCACTAAAAATGAAGTTACACGGCCATCTGTTCTTTCATGTCACATTAAGGAATAAGAAAAAAGGCAAGGTGTGTTTCACTCAAAGCACAGCACTCTCTCCTACGGTGGAAGACCATTTTGTGGAGACTGTCTGCCTAAATCCCAAGTTTGCAGAGGAAGGTGCTTGCAGGCCGGCTTTATCTGGGATACTTCCCACAGTGTTCACATCAACTGATCCAGTCTGCTCTGCAGCTTCACGTTATCGATTCCATAATTACCCTTTAAATCGTGCTACTGTTGCCAGTTACTACCCCTCTCCAGAGAGGTGCAAATGACTGTCAGTCTACAAAATTTGCCATTCTACTTGAAACGGCTGAGGAGTTTTAGCTGAGAAACAGATGGGACTATGTGGAAGAGAACGAAATTAAACATAAAAGAGAACTGTTTAACTGAGAGTGAAAGTTGTACTTGCTATACTTCTCACATATCGGTCCAATTAACAATCGCTATGAATTAAGACAGAAGTTGAAACACATTTGAAAATAAGATCTCCTAACATAACAAACATCCAAAGTTGCTCCACTGAAAATGGAGGGTTTCTTTTTTTTTTTTTTCCCCCAAGCGTGTCTCTCAACAAAGGGAAACCAGGATCCTATTCAAACAATTTGTAATGATACAAAGGAGTCCGCTTTTCAACTTCTCAATAAACATTCTGAAGGCTGCTCTGGTTTTTTTGTTTGATGTGCTAATTGCCTGAAAGCCATAACGAGTTTCCATTCGCTCTCCTTCGGATAATTATTCCAAGGATAGCGGGGCTCACCTCCTGAACCTCAGGCTCGTAGGTAACCTGTTCCCAGCTCGCATGCACTGGCACACAAAAGGCCTGAGCCAGCCGGCTCCAGATCACCTCAG